AGGTTGATAGGTTTAAAAGTTAATGGCTTAATTGAATCTTTCTCTTTCTTATCGGATATAGTTTGCTTTTTTTCTTGAGCGAATAGAAAAAGTTGGTGATTCTGTTTTTTACGTTCTAATGAAAAAAACTAAAAAAAAAGTTTTTTCTGATAATTAAATAAATTTTCGTAATTTTGGGATTCAAGTGTCATTACCTAAACATTCATTACTGAATCCCGAATATGAAAGTCTTATTAAAAAAATTAATGAATTAGAATGTTTAAATCAACAATTACTACTTGAGAATAATTTGTTAAAAAAAAAATTAAATAATAAATACGATAACCAACAAGAGCATGTTAAAGCCGTTGTAGAAATTGCCAAACGAAAACAAATTGCCTGGTATGATGATGTCATTAAATTAATAAATAACCGTGAGCACTTTTGTTTAGATAGTCTCTTAAATTATTCCCCATCTCAATAGCTTATGATGCATAATCCAGTTGTAGTAGAATTTATAAAAACTCTTACGCATAATGAAAATGAAGACCATTATGAAGCAGAAAAACTTTTTAAATGTGCTGTAGCAATAGATAATATATATGGAATAAGACATTTAAAATATGTCTTTGATTAATTTAGCACTATCGGCAATAAAATACTCTATAGCAAAGTCTAAAACGATAATTGATATCAATAGCTATATTATAAATAATGGTAGTTTTACCAAATTTATTAATTGGCAAGAAACTTTAGCAGGTAATTCAGAACTATTTCCAAATGGTTTGGTATTTATGGCATTTGATAACGAACAAAAAGGCCAAAAAAATTATTTAGATCATGGATATAATAAAGTGATCTTTCATACGGTCACTAGTTTTGTTTTATTTAACTTCAATTCTACTAATCAAATACAAAATTTTGAAAACCCTTGGCTACATCAAAATCTTAATATATTCCAAATCAAAGAATTATTTGGCCTTACTCCAGAAATGCAAGCATTGCTTGATCGTCAGCTTCATGATTATCTTTCGTCTATTATAACTGAATTATGTACAAAAAAAAATAAAGAAATAAATGTTATTGACAATTTAATAACTAATCAAAGTGCTAAAACAAAAAATCAAAAACAATGTCATGATTGTGGTAAAAAAGATATTAAAAACTCTAAGTGTAAATGTCCTCAATGTTATACAAAACTTCCTACACTCGCTGAAACTCAACAAGAAAAAAAGCAAACTATATCCGATAAGAAAGAGAAAGATTCAATTAAGCCATTAACTTTTAAACCTATCAACCT